AATATCTTATGGGGGAAACAGTTAACAGTGACCCAATCAACAACTTCATGGAAACCAAATAATATCACTATCATTTTATTCAAACCGTTAACTCCTTAAGCCTCATGCATCATGATTCTTTTCCATCTATAATAATATTTCCGTACCAGATAGGGTGGAAGCCCTTGACATTTTAGGAGCATAACTGACAAGAGGTATGTTAGTTAGATTCACTTTAACTTGCTCACTGTCACCTTCAACATTAAGTTCAACTGCGACATCAGTTCCTTTCTCTAACTTTTGGTCTTCTCCTTCATTTTCAGAAGTATCTTCATTTGAATCACTATTCAGTTTCTCATCTACGCAAGAATCACTAATTCCCAGGATGGAGTTCTGAAAGTTGACAAGCTTATCAACTAATTCAGGATGTATTGCCAATGGAAGTGAAATGAAGTGAGAGTAATCAAGATTTTGGCTCTTAACTGCCTGTATGTATAAGGAGAAAGTAAGATGTTAATTATGTGTAACAGTATGCTATCAATAGCAAAAGAAAGACGAGTGATCAGGGACAAATTGTGTATATAAAGGAATGGGCATAAGCTCTAAACAAATAATAATGACTTGTATTAAATAATTGGTAAAAAAATCGAAAGAAATTAAAAATAAAACAGAACCACCCCTTCTTCTGCAAAACCACATTGCTAGGCAACTGACCTCATCAATTATAGTATGTATCTTCTCAGAAGCTCTAGATATACTTTCCATTGAGATGCCTTCAATAACTGTGAAAGATAACCAGGGGAAAATAGTTAAACCACATTCACATTCCCCACTGTCTGAAATCCTCTTATAAGAATACAAGATTATATGAACTTGGCTAATATGTCCTATCACAATTATGAAAGAGTTGAACAACTGTAGACCTGAACAGTTTCTATTTTATCATAAAGTCGAACTCTTGTTAACCTTTAAGTTAAAACTTACTAACTGAATCCTCCTCCTTTGATGAGGGGATTATAATCTTAACTCCCATCTCATCTTCAATCTCTCTCTGTGTAGATCCCCTGACACACACAACAAGCAATAATAATTACAACATATGAGAAAGTAATCCCATAAATAAACTTTTATAAAATATTTACACGATGAACTATGTACCCTTTTCCTCTAATAAAGCGAACCAAAGAAGCACCAACCTGCATAGCAAGGAACAAAAAAATGAGTGGTATGAACGTAAAAGGACAGAATGGGGTATGCAATGACTAGCATTATGAGAAATGCCTTTGAAGTCCAATGTGCAGTAAGCAACACCGGCACCAATTCTATAAAAATCCTAGAAAATTCCTACCGTAAGATGATGATACAACTGATTTTGTTTCTATTCAGCACTCACTCAGGCACTGATCCTGAACTCTTCCTACTCCCCCACACCACCCAAACAAAAGAAAAAGATAATACATAAAAAGGCATGTGCATGAAGGGTGCAAGTAAAAAATATCTTGAAAATCTCAATTAAACTGTAAAACTAAGCAAAAACATATGGTGCGGCCTGATAAATAAATTTCTTTATGGATCAGAAAAATAGAATTTTCAACAAAATCATGCCTCAACTGAAATTGAATGCTTTTCAGTAGAAACCACTGATTCTTCTCTGAATACTGTCTTTTCTCCATTATCTTGCAATGCACTGGAACTAGCAGTAAAGTTAGTTGCAGCCACCTCTATGACATTGTGAGCACTTGAAATTCTGGTAGATGTGCAACGATGCACTTCTTGGACTCGAGTATCAGATTCCAGCTCATCTGTGGTCACCCTTACTGAGCATTCTGCAAACCAATAAATCTGTAATAAAATCTGGACAGTAACCAATCATTACGCCTATAAAAAAAAATTATTTTTCCAACCCAATCAATCATAAGTTTAACAATGGCTGACCAACAATGCGTATAGATCATTATACAAAGTTGTAGATATAATTACATGTCTCAGTATGTCTCAATATTCATCTAAAAAATAACAGAAACTTTACTGCAATTAGTATCCAAAACTCAAAGGATTAGAATCAATGTGAAAAGTTGCTGGCTTCTATTAGCCTAGGCTACAGGATGATACTTAAAGGTAACCCACCTTCATTGGAAGTGGCTTGAGTACTGACTGGTCTCCATACAGCATTAGTTGTTCTGATCTTTTTGTTACGATCCCCGCCACTTTGCTTATCTTTTCCACCACCCATTTTAATATTATACCTCAAACCACAATAACCACGGTGTCCCTGTCACACGGATATGAGTCACAAAAATATCTACTTGAAAGCCCAGAAAGCATCACAAAGTGACAACTAGCTCCAGTAAAGTCTAAATTTGGTTCCAAACTCAATTTCATGGATACAAAAATTCTTCTCAAAATCAAGTTCTTTTCCCTCCTTTGTTTTGTGCATAGTATTGAATTAATCTTTGGGAAAAAAAAGAAAAACCTATTCAAACTACTTCATTAGTTTCTCTTTGCAAAGAATTAATCCTTGATCACTCAACCAACTCAACAAAATGTTTTTCTGAAACCACAATGAAAACACACAGTTTCATAGGCAGAGTACAGATATAATCATGGCATCAGATTGAGTTTCTTATGCATTAAATGCAAAGTGATATTTGTACTGATTTAAACCCAAAAAGAAAAATGAATGACAATTAAAAAGAACTAACCAAGAAATAATTCACTGGCTCCAATGCAGCATAAGTAGTTGTAAATTTCAGAACTCGATCCAATCTGCAATTTGCAAATATAGGGATTAAAAGTTCATTTCTTTAACTCTCCTCCAAAGAGTACATATATCCTTATAAAAAATAAAAAATGGTTTCTTTTTCCACGAAACAAAACTGAATTCTACAGCTGAATCAGATATATGGAAGACAAACATAGGAACCCAACAAAATAAAATCGATCATGTTAATTGAAAGCATGCTGACTTTGATAAATTAATTGGGCGTTGTTTGGCGACGGAGAATTCAGCAACTGAATTGTTGAGCCTTTTTTAATTACTTATAGTTAGCTCAATGAATAAGGTATAGGAGGCAAACAGAGTGTTAGAAGAACTAAAAGAAGAGTATGCGTTCAGTACCTGAAGAGGGACCTGGAAGCTAACATTTTGCGGTAGCCGTTATTATGTCATGTCTCTCAACAAGAACAAGCAGAGGTTCGACAGCTGGATTGCAGAGTTCAGTTCTGATGCCACGTATCTTTTTGCACGTGCGAACAGGGGCCGCAATAGTAACTTACAAATGGGTCCATTGGGCCCAAAGGCCCAATTCTAAATGCATCATCATAAGCACATTTTCTTTTCTAATTTGAGAAAATTATACCAATCTCTCACTTTAATTTATTCTTGCATCCGAGAGTCTGTATTCAATTTTTTCTGTTCTCAAACACCGCTTGTCCAATTGTATTCAAGGTTTTTTTTGTTTTTGTTTTTTTTTTATCAAACAACATTAAGTGAAGGAGATTACTTTACTTGTAAATGGGATTTTGACACTGATCAATTTTCATAAACTTTTTATTTTCTTTAAATTGTTTTAACTTTCTTTGTTTGAAATTTGAGATATGTTAAATTCTTATTTGCTTTGAGAATGAGCTCTTCCTTTTAGTTTTAAGGAGCCAAATTTTTCTTTTTTTAAAATTAAATCCACGTGGTTGCGAATATGCTTCCACGTAATTATTCTAAAGATAATAAATAAATAAAATGCATACCGCAGATTATCCCAAACCTAATTAAACCCCATCATTGTAAAAGCAACTAAAGTAGTTTTATGAGGAATTAATGAAAAAGGGAACGGATACTTTAACCTTTGTCATATGATTCCAAATCAATCATATTCCATACTTGATCCACAAGTGATCAAATAGTCTCAGTTGAAGGCAAGAATACACCCACAACTTCTTCAACCTCTCTCTACAATTTCAAGTTTTGAACAAGGAAGAGACACAACTTGATCAATTTATTAGGCCAATCTTCAAACGCTTGATCCCAGCCATGGTTTGTGTAGGAGTCTTTTTTGGCTGCAAACGACCCCGTTCTATCGAAGGTTATGTTCTCTCAGCCTTGGCCATAATTGGCATTCTCTTTGGCTTGCGCATCCTTTGTTACATCATCTATCGGTGCTTCAAGAGGGAAATCCAGCATCCTCACAGCCCTCACATCGAGCGAAACCCGAACGATGGGTTGGAAATGCAGACATGGGAGATTCAGGCTCACCACCCTTCAGCTGTGAGCAAAAATTAGAACCAAATTCGTGAAGTTTAGATGCCAGAATCACCAGCATGTTATACGTATTATCTCTGAAATTCTAAGCTTATAGAAAATTGATAGCTTGCTTCTCTGTTGCAAATGTATAATGCAGTCAACTTTGTGTCAAATATTTTAGTTGGTCCCATATGAAATTGCCCCTCACTGGTAATTCAAGGTTTCAATGGCAAACGTCTTCTAGGATACAACAACCTCCTTCTTGTGGTAGTAGCAGTCCGAACCCCAAGAACAACGAACACAGACTTGTGTTTGAACTCTCTCTCAATATGAGACTCTATTTTACTAACAAAGACTCATGAAATCAATAATAATAATAAAATATATTGTCTCTATTTATAGATAATGAAGAGTCATTTCCCAAAATACATGACTTAATTTGAAGAGGCAAGTGATGCATCTCATGCATTGTTTCAAACTTAAGTCACATATTTTCGAATTTAATTTCCATTCACATATTTTCTGTAGAGGATTATAATCACTATAGCAAATACTTTAATTTTTAAAACTCGGCAATTCTCTATTTGCTTCTCTATGCTTGTCGAAAAATTGGTTTGATCAGTGATTTTCACTCAACGATGGGTCAAACTTCGTAAAGGTCCCCAGGAGTCTAGATGGGCTCAAATTGAAACAAATTCTGATTTGCATGTATCAAATAATTAATTACTAATATGAGGGGCATTGTATTTGAACCACGTCTCCCCTAATATCACTTATATATGTATATATAAAATGAAAAATAAAAAATAAAAATTATTTACGCATAAGCAAAGTCGTAATTAATATTGCTACACCAAAGTTATGTACGCATATGAGATATGTATACAAGTTAGCTATAGCTAGATCCCTAATTGAAAATGTCCCCTTCCCTTCTAGAGCTCAAAATACTCGCACCCATTTTGCGTTGAAGTCGTATTTTCAGCAACTCTATTTGTGCAGGTCACACGCCACACTTTAAGAACCCCATCAAGACTCCCAGTGCAAATTGTGCAACCCTCCTCAGTCTCCTCCCCTAATCGTCCAGAAAATGCTGCGACACACCTGATTGGGCCTCTGTGCCCCACAAGCACTGCTAGACACGTGTGCTGGCCATCCTCTACATCCCTAGACCAAATCCTACTGGTTGAGTCAGCGGACCCACTCACCACGTAGTTCGCCACGCTGGCCAAACACATCACTGCATGTGTGTGGCCTTGGAGTGCACCCCCGTACTGCAATTGGCCCGAGAACCACCCCTTGAGCCAATAGTGTATGTATCCGTCAGTGCACCCGCCATAGAGGACCCCACCGTCTGAGGTTAGGGTTAGGGTTTTGACCGGAGAGCACTTGGCGGGTAGAGTTATAGTGAGCGAGTGAGGAAGCTGGTCGCCGCTGCAAAAGTTGCGACGCCAGACTCGGACTGTAGCATCGTCTGAGGCTGTGTAAAGGATCCCGTCATCGGCAACAACGATGGCATTGATGGGCTTGGAATGAGCTTGGATGGTCTCAATGCACTTGAGGTCCGAAATTCGCCACACTTTGACTGTTTTGTCTGTGGAAGCTGAGTATAGAATGTCCTCGGATACATTGATAGCTAGTGATGTAATAGCACCCGTATGCTTTATCTGTTACATAGATAGAAATATTAATCAAAGTAAATTTGACCAAGGTTTTTTTTTAGCAAATTGCAATTATAACAACAAAAACCAAGAACAAGAATGATATATGATGGATTCATCTATTACTAGTACTAATTAATGACTGCTCCTGTATTCCATCTACTAATTTTAGCATAAGAGATAGAAAATTTAATTCGCACTTCATCTTGTCTTGTCTAATAATGGTCATAAAAGACGACCAACAAAATCTATGAATTCAATAAATCAGCTCCAAATGTGGTACTGGGAGGGATATGCATTCATGTGTTATTTGCTAGAGTAAAGTGCTTCACCGTTGGCCAGTCCCGACGTCGACAATCTCTCAACAACTAGAAATCATTTTACAATATGAATTCTGACAAAGTTCTTTTCATACAAATCCAACTATAATTATATGTACAGCAACAAATTTATTTTAATGGACCGCTAATTACTTGAATTTCTATTAGAGATGTGATTATTAGATGGACCCAAAAAAGTTTCTTAGAAAGGTCAAGAAAATATCTTAATCGGGAGGACCACTGCATAAATTTAATTCCAAAATTGTCTATAGTACTAAGTTGGGGCCATCTCAAGCCTATATGTGATTTCCCTATCCGATTTCACCATCTCACTCTTCCTATGACACATTGGGGCATCGTAATTAATGGTCTCTCCAAAGTTTCAACCCCTCCCAAAACCTACCAGTAATTAATAGACAAAAAGAAGAAATATATCAAACATTGAGTACTTACAGTCTTATCTTTGCCGGCAATGTATAAGCTCCGAACATAACTTCCGGTCTTTGGAATAGTAGCCAACCTGACATGCTTCAACCCCCCATCCCATGTTCTCTGCCAAACCCTAACCTTACCGTCGCCATAAGCTGCATAGACCTTGTCATGGGAAACCTCGATTGCCACAACCATGCAAGCCTTGGCCTTGAGCTGCCCACATTCTGTGAACTCAGGGAGCTTCCAGAGCCTTATGAGGTTGGTGCTGGAGCCGGTGTAAACGAGGCCGTTGGATGCGGCAATGGACAAGATCTGGCCGTCCTTTTGGAGGACGGAGGAGATGCAGCGGTAGGCGGTGAGGAGGTCAGGGTGCTTGGAGGGAGTAGGATTGAGAGGGTGGAGGGGAGAGGAGGTTGGGGAGGCATGGAGGCTTAGGGTTTGGGAGAGGGAGGAAGGAGAGTAGGTAGGGTGTGGTGGGGTGTATGGGAAGTGTGAGAAGGATGGGGCTTCCTTGTTTGAAAAGCTTCTGAACATGTTTTAGTTTTGTGTATTTTCTTCTGTTGTTGGTGTGATTTTGGGTTTAGGTTTGGTTGAAAAAGATGGGGTTTGGGGAGAGTTGGAAGAGCATTAGGGAAGCCATTTTCTTTGTCTCAAAATGCAGCAAAGGAGGGGGTCTTCTTTTGGTGCATATATATAAATGCTGCGAAATTGGGCCAGTGGGGAGTACTGGTGGTGTGTAAATGTTTATAAATGCGATGGGCTCGTAATTTAGAGTAAGATCTGACAACACATACGTATATGATATATATTCCATATCTCTAACGTCATTTACAATTTTATAGTTTATATATTTCACTTTACTACCCAAAAGTTTACCGAAATTTAGACTTTACTACATCAAGTTTTTTTCATATCAACTTCGTACACAAAATTTGAGTTTTCTACTATTTTCATACATCCGTTAGTCATTCCATCAAATACTTTATAGTTTTAACCACATATGACTTACCTAACACTAGGCCTGGGCACGAATCATTAGGGAAGCCATTTTCTTTGTCTCAAAATGCAGCAAAGGAGGGGGTCTTCTTTTGGTGCATATATATAAATGCTGCGAAATTGGGCCAGTGGGGAGTACTGGTGGTGTGTAAATGTTTATAAATGCGATGGGCTCGTAATTTAGAGTAAGATCTGACAACACATACGTATATGATATATATTCCATATCTCTAACGTCATTTACAATTTTATAGTTTATATATTTCACTTTACTACCCAAAAGTTTACCGAAATTTAGACTTTACTACATCAAGTTTTTTTCATATCAACTTCGTACACAAAATTTGAGTTTTCTACTATTTTCATACATCCGTTAGTCATTCCATCAAATACTTTATAGTTTTAACCACATATGACTTACCTAACACTAGGCCTGGGCACGAATCGATTTGGAATGGTAGAGGGCCTTTCCGTTAACAAGTCTTCGGTAGACCAATTTCTCTTCCATTAACCAACCATTAATTAGAACCTTTAACCATTCAGATTGCTTAACCGCTTATTTAA